TCAATTGGAGATCTCTTTATGGACTCAGTCCGCTTATTAGGCGACAGAAGATGCTGCACAGTACACACAGTGAGGGACGGATAAGTGCTATGTACGATGAAGATATACTGTTAAGAAGGGTGAAATGTAGGCCTCCTTTTAGTGCATAGAATCTCAATGGCTTCAGAATTGTTTTTGGCTCTTTCTGCCTCAGTTCCCTCCTGTAGGAATGCAGTCTGAACCACATACAGTATGTGTGCATGTAGATCTTTTCCTACATTCTCGGGACAAAAAAGTTCAGACTTTTAAACTGGAGCAAAACACAGATAACCTTCAATGGCTGGACCAACAAAATTGCCCTGACTTTGTAAAGTGCTGTTCAGAATTTCTTTAAAAAACTGAATGAGCAAAAACTACTTTCCCTACTCCGGTTAAAGTAAGGCTTAGGCCTGGAAAATTCTGTGTGTGTATGTGTGTGTGTGTGTGTGTACAGTGTACACTGACTGAGAAACCCAGCAATTTTAATTTTAAAGTGAAGTTGAAAGATTTAGATCACACATTTTCATGTCTCTATATAAACCAAAGAGTTTAGTCCATAGGCAGAGCCTTATTTTAGCCACGCCCGTGCACTTTAGCGCATGAAGTGAGACTGTATCCCTGTCCCTCATGGCCATATGGTGAGCAGTATACACACAGAACTGTGCAAAAGTCTTAGGCATGTAAGCACATTATGTAAAGCCGCTTATCGGAGCTGTAAGTGTTTTTGCTTGTACAATCACCATATATCAAATGCAAATAAATGTAAATACACTAAAAGTAATGAGAATTTCTTTTTTTTTAAGTAGTTGGTTCCAGATGTGTCCTCAACCATCCCATACATTTGTTCAAATCCAACATCGGCACAACTGATTTAATGTAATGATTTAATGTAACATAACTGCCGCGAGAAGAGGTTTGTGGATGGTTATACCAAAACATGGACATATGTGAATTCACTATTTATTGTATTAATATGTTTGTATTTAATACTTCACTTAGTATTAGCGTTTTTCTGAGCAAATAAATGCTTACTGCCCAGTTAAGTAGCTTTTTAAGTATAATTTTCCTGGGTCACCAAATTTGTGCACAGTACTGTATATGGAAAATATTTTAATAATACTGAGGATGCCTCTCAGTTCACAAAAAATGTTTGAAAATAGGTAATTACAGCATATTATTTCTCAATTAGTAACTTCCTGAAGTATTGAATAAAACATTTGAAAGTACATAATTTTGATATATATTCAGAGTAGAAATGTCACAGTGATAAAGCAATGAGTTAAAAATGCCACCAATTTTTTTTTAAATGCATTTCCTAGCTTTTTTTTTTTTAAGGTTTTCCCTAGTTCCTAGTTTGACTCTATAAAGCAAGCATGTGAAACTGACCTTCTGGGTCAAAGTGCTGCGGATATTAGCGTTTACCCTCATCTAACGCTCTGAATTCAGTTCATGAAGGCCTTGCTAATTAGCTGATGAACTGACTCAGGTGTGTTTAATGAGGCAGTGTGCTAAAGTCTGCAATGTTTTGGCCCGTGAGGACTGGAACCTGATACATGTGCTATAAACCATTCATAGTAATGCAGGCTGAAGCCCAGCTGTATGTTGATATGAGTTAATGGTCTTAAAGGAATATCTTCTGCAGACTATGCTGGACAGTGCTCATGGGAGACCAACGGATAAATCAACGAGCAGCAATCTGCCAAAAGTAACAGCAAAGTGAAAAATAAAAAAAGTGAGAACTCATTTACAGCAAAAGTTTGAACACCCCTAGTCAAATGACGTTTTGTCGTTTTCTAAGAGAAAATAAGGTCCTCTACAGAGAACACACCTTAAATATATGCCATTACTTTTGCACAGGCCATATTTGATCTTCTTTCTCCAATGTGGTGAGTTCAGCAGATGAACAGTAATTGTGTGCAGAGGTTTGTTCTCTGTAGAGGATGTTTTGACTTATTTTCACTTAGGAAATGAATAAAACATGCAATCTGACCATGGGTGTTCAAACTGCATACGACTGTATCTATAACAGAATGCACTGCTTTTTTAATGGAAAACATCTTCACAGTCATATTTGGGTAAATAAGACGATGAGATTACATTAGATTACATAGAGATTGACTTAACTACACTTAAATATAAAATAGCAAAGATTATTACAGCATTATAGTAATTCCAAACTTTTGACTGCTCCTGTATATCACTGCTGTCGGAACAAAATCTCGTTATCTCCATTTTTGTCGTTTTTCATTTTTTGATATAATTTGAAAATGCCTGTAGTCCTCTATATTTTATGTAAATTTCATGAAGAATGGACCAAAAGAAATGGTCCAAAAAGTCTGGTTCCATTGACGTTTTTTCCTTCTCCTGTAAAGTTACCATTTTGGAGATAGGAGGTTTTGTTCCGACAGCAGCGATATGTACTACATATAGGGCATATTTATGACATTATGTCCTGACATTGTATAAAAACAAGCATGTGTATGTGTATCCATGTGTGTGCACTGCATAGAGACTTGAGTGCCGTTGCTCTGAAGTGATTAGGCATGTCACTACAAGCGGGCACACTCACATGTAATTGGGTTTGAGGATAAAGAGGGCACTGCCTGCTGATGAAATGCTTCTCTCTGTGGTTGTCTCTCTTTCTCTCTTCCTATCTCTCTCTTTCTCCCTTTCTCCCACTTCCTGCTGCAGTCCAATAGGCCACCAGCCTACAGACCCAGAGCTCCTAGCACTAGATGAGCCACTTGACTCTTTCTCCTTATTAGCAGGCCTTTGCTATATTTACATATTTGATTTCAGTACGAGTTACATGGCCAAACATTCTGAAAAGAAAAAAAAACTGTTCTTGTGTTAAAGTACCACCGTGTTAAAATGTTTTGGCTTGATCAACGATTCCGTTTGCCAGACAGTCTTAGGAGGATTTGCCAGGTTAAAACCATTTCTTTAGCAAATAATAATTGCTGATTCCTTCCAACAACCCACTGAGTTCCACCAAGCTATGAAATGCTGTCTGCTGCCAAGAAAGAGGACACACTGGGTGCCGTGTCTGTGGAATCAATGTTACAGATTGTGCTTACAAAAATAAATCAAACTCCCTAGCTCCAAAAATCATTACTGTCTAGTAGAAGTTGTTGAAATGCTGTCTTTCTCTCTCTCTCTCTCTCTCTCTCTCTCTCTCTCTCTCTCTCTCTCTCACTCTCTCACTCTCTCTCTCTCTCTCTCTCTCTCTTTATTGCTGCCACAGAAAGTTAGATGATGTATCAGTTTTCTTAGGGGAATTGTCTCTGTGCTAACTATTCCTTCAGCCTCCCCTACAGATGTTTCTCTATGGATTATCGTTATCAGTTACAGTGAACTTTAAATTCATTATTTGTGTTAATTAGGTCTCTGCATTCATGTTGAGTTTCTAATTTTGGATGTCATTACATAAAAGAGAGAGAGAGAAAACAACACTTTAAAATATCAGTTCAAATCCACTTCACAAACAGCCACCCGGATATCCAGCAGAGTATGTAGGCTTACGTTCCGCAGCCGTGTTCACCACCCATAGTGTTTACAACCCATATGTGGAAATGTACAAGGAGCAGAAAATACAACCAACTTCTAAGACTGAACTTTTGGGGTGTTTACAAGAAGCATGAAAAAATAAACAAACAAAAAAAATACATGAGTGATAATAGATAAAAGTAATTGCAATATTTCGGCATATCATTTCACCCTCCTCCACCTTCACTTGTAGTATACCTCTCCAGTCTGTTTGCTCTATATAGCGTCGACAGGTGACAGCCAGTAGCCAGGTGTGGTCTATATACATATTTGAAAATAGCTGTTCTTTGTGGTTGTTTAATTTTTTGGTTATTATTTTTATTATTTATTTATCGTGTTATTTTAGGTATTTTATTAAGTAAAATTGTCTCACCATGTCGGCAGATGATTTGGCTTGTTTCAAGCAGATTTCTTAAAATTACTTAAAATGTGTGTAAATAAGTTAAAAGGGCTTTCACTTGCTAAGATATCATTCATTTTCAGTCTAGATGGTTGTGCCTCTAGGGATTCCAGAACCTCAACTAATTTGAAAATGTGCATCCAGGGAGCCCCTTTCCTGCCTTTTGCCTAGAGCACCAGAATCACTAAATCCACCCCTGATAGTAGCACTAATGTTAGCTATGAAAATGGGGCAAGGTCCCAAAACTGGGTGCTGCAAAATTGGCAAGGAGAGACCTCAAAAACTGAAAAAATGCCTTTCAAATGGTCTTCTTTTGAAATTTTGCTGCTATACCAGCTGGTAAAACAGCAAAGGACGGCGAAGTCAAGCCTGAGTGAGCAAGTTTCTGATCAGGCTGATCACTAATATAACATTGAGCTAGCAGCTCTGCGACACCGTGAAAAAGTATTTCGTTGTCATTAACAGGCAGTTTTAGGGGTTCTGAAAACAAAAATTAAAACCAAATTACGCATTTTACTTGGTTGACTGAATAGTCCATCTATTTAGGCACAGACTCGATCCATCTGCGCAAGCAAGACTGTTAAACAATCCATGTAATACTTTCAGGCCAACGAGATGCTTTATCACTGTATTGCTGTTGTGGCCTGGCGTCAGGCCTGAGTGTGCGATCAGCGTGCCTGCCACCAGCCGTCACAAATCTCCTGCACCTCTCTCTCACGCTGGCACAGTGACGCAAAATCAATAGGGCCTCTCGGGTCCCTCCATCAGCCCAAATATCTGTGGCGAGCTGCTCCGGGCAGCAGGCGGTCGATAAAGGGGTCTGGCTTTGCCTGAGATGGGATTGTGGTGTGGAAAGTGGACGATCAGGGTTTGCGCACAGTCAGAGACAAATGACTCCCACTTTGTAGCATGCTGAGAGCTTCTAAGCAGCTGCTGCATTTAGGGTCTGGGGGGTGGAGGTCTCACTGTATAGGAAATGAGCGTAATAGAAGGGTGACTGATGTTTTTTCCTGTCTTCTCTCCTCTTGTGGCAGTGATGGATGGCAGACTGCTGCTGGAGGGCCTGCAGAGGTTTGGCGCTGTGCCTACGTACCTGCCCGTCCAGTACCAGGTTCTGAACGCTGAGCTGGCCTTCTTCCTCAAGGAGGCTAACCAGGATATCATGAGGAACTCCAGCCTCCAGGCCCGAACTGAGCTCTTCTTCATCCAGCAGGCCAGGAGGATGCCTGTAGTCAATGCTAGCTATGGACCACTCTCAGTGCAGCAGCCTGTGCCCATGGAGCTCCTCGGACCAGGTCAGTTCAGCAACCCATCTTCATCTTCTTCATCATCGTCATCATCTTCTCAGCTCTTTACGTTCAACTGGAAGGTTCAGACATTCATCATAAGCGAACGCATTCACCCAAACTGGCCCAAAGTACAGGTCCTGTTCTACGTGGTGGGCCGAGACTGGGACGACTACAGCACCGTGGACAGGCTGCCCTGTGTCCGAATGTTTGCTTTCCATGAGACCCAGGAGGTCCGAGGAACATGCCGCTTGAAAGGCGATCTAGGGCTGTGTGTCGCTGAACTGGAGCCATTGCCCAGCTGGTTCAGCCCACCTAGTGTGGTACCTGGTAGACAAAGAGCTCCGGAGCAGGCTGAGGGCACCCCTGTGGAACTCTACTACATGGTACAGTCCACAGACACTGGCGACTGCAACTCTGAGGACTCCCGCAAGGCCGGCTCCATCCACACCGAGCAGCAGGGGCCAGCAGGGTACTTTTCAGGCCCCACACCCATGCGCAGGATCGGCAGCGTGCGACTGTTCCAGCCATTCTCTGAGCTACGACTGGACAGCAACTTTGTGGTAATGGTGCCCTCCAGGCCTATCAAGCAGAGGGAGACAGTATCAGCTTTCCTGGCTGCTTCAACGCTTTCCTCTGTGGAGATCTTCACTCTCAGGTGAGAGACTTGCTCCTCTTACATTACGTTCATGACCTTATCTGCTTCATCACACATCAAACATGCAGCATAGCTATTTTCAGAGAGTTTTATTATGGTTGATAATTGAAATATAACTGTTAATCATACCAAAATAATCAACTCCAGTGTTACATAGAGTACTGTGCAAATGTCAGAAACCACCCTTTTATTTATTATTCTAAACAGCCATGCAGAAAATTAAATACAGAAAACTACACAGAAGCCTCAACTCTTAGTGTCCACCCTTTTCCTTTATTACAGCTTCTATTCTCTTTGGGAGACTTGCTTTTAGTTTTTCAAAGAAATCTGCAGGGATATTTTTCCAAGCCTCCAAAATGATGTTAAGGACTATAAAAGTGATGTTAAGGACTATAAAAGTTCACTCCACATCCCAGATGTGCAGTTTCGGCATTCTCTTACATATATATATATTTTTTTTTGCCTCATTTCCTTTTCTCAGTAACAACTGCTCGAAAACTACACATTCTTTCAAACCCATAGCACTGAGTTGTCTTCTCCCTGTGAAAAGATGGCCAGAAGCAAGACTGGAGCTTGATTTTCTCCTTTCTCCTATCTCCAAGATAAAAACTCTAAAGGAGCAATATGTAAGATGATGCAACCTGTTGACTTCATACTCCCCACAGTCACTCCTCCTTACTTACCAGTCTAGAAGAAACATTGCGAGTTCAGTGTCAGACTTCATACCTTTATTTGCTAAGAGCTGTCTCCAGTGGTGGAAAGTAACGCCAATGTTAACTCTTGTTTTGCTTTTATTTATGTCACTTCTTTTCTTTGTGGTTTCTTGCTGGGAGCGTGCATGCTACTTCATCATCTCATGTTGGACTGATGGCAGACACAACACTACAGTGACTCACTATAGCCTCTTGAGGTACAAAGTGTTATTATGAGACAGGACAGCCCAGGGCTAGCTGGTTAGCATGCTAACCTTAGTGGATATCTCTCCAACATGGTACATTGACATCTTTGACATAACGTCAAACCTGTTATTTCTTCACATTCTGTTGATAAGTTTAGTTAATTCTGGAATGTTTTAAACTGAGAATCTTACAAATTGCTCCTTTAAGCAATGTTTATCTGATGGTGACAGTTGTGGTGATCTACCAGGTCTTGTACAGTTGTAGGGGTCTTTTTTTCTTCCATTTTTTGAACTCCAGTGTTGGAAACTCCTGCTTATTTTCCTTTGACTTTCCTCTTCTTTAGGCAAGTACATTATCTTATATCTAATCCTCAGAAATATCTCTTTTAGCATTTTGAGATGCACAAAAGAATGAAATGTACAAGGCAGCTAAGGTGAGTTTGTGTAGTTACTTGTGTGAATGTTAGTGTCTGTTTGAGGTGGTACATAATGTCAGTGACTCCTTTGGGAACAGCTTTTGTTAGGAGGACACAGTCGATTGGAAGGATGAAAGAATTGTATATTTGATATTTTTGATGTTTTAGAGTTGGTGGGTTTTGTGTAATTTTCTGTTTAATAAATGCTTACTGCTTTTTTTCTGACACTAAAATGAATAAATTGTACTTAATGGCTTAGAAATTAAATAAAAGTGGCCTCTGACTTTTGCAAAGTGCTGTATTCATGGCAATTACAGTTTAAGAGACTTTGAAATACACGTTCCTTTCCAAAGTACTGTCTTTTGGTATTTCTACACTGAATTTATTGTAGGCATGTGCTGAATTATGTTTAATTTATAAGACATTCTGATTCAACAGTAATGAATTTTCCTCTCACTGCCTAAGTGCAAAAATTTACTATGGAGTTTTGAGCTTTAATTACAGAGTGTAGATTTGACGCAGCGGCCAAAGACATTAGGTGTGCGTGTAAATGAGTGAATGAGGAATTAGTATTAATTTCCAGTTGTGCCTCCTCACGCCTGAGATCTAAATCACCATGCGTGATACCGGCGCTGCGCCTTGAGTTATGCATTGACAAAATGCTCGGCCAATTTGTCAAGTAGGGCGAGCATTAGCTTAAAGCTTAACTGCTTTCTCTCGCATGAGTGATGATGAACTTTAAGTGTTCAGCTCTCAGTGGGAACCTGATGTGCTCCCGCTAAACATATATCAGATCTGTGAGTGCACTGGAGGAAGTTTATGTGGTCTTTAGCTTTTGAAAATGTAGATGTCTTTCATTTTAGAAGGAGCTGCTGCTGGGATTTGTGCATGCCTGTGTACATTTCAGATGGACCTACACCCCTAGTCACAGCTAATGAAGCTCAAAGTTGTCTTTGTTGTCTTTGGAGCACTTCTGAACTGCTCCCATGGAGTTCTAACATCGGAAATTTGTTTGTAATATGGTTATCAGGCAGCTTTTAATTAAAGCAAAAAGAGAGAAAAAGTCGACTCCTCAGTAGCAGCCATGTTTATATGAAATGTATTGATGGGGTTTTAGTCGGGAAGTCTTCAGTGATCGAGGCCTCCTCTGTAGTTTTTTTTTTCTCCCGCATAGCTCCTGCGTTCGCCTTGTCTGATGATAAGATCCTTTAAAGGGGTTTGTTCTCTTCTTTCATCACTTCTCCGTGATGGCTAAATGCCTTTGTGACGGCTCCAAGTCCTCTCACCCCCCTAGAGATAGGCTCAGCTCTGTTCTTGTTTCAGGCTGGGCTCCAGCTCTATGCTGAGTGTAGCAGTGACCAGCTGAGCACTGCTGATACGGAGGTTTCTCTTGGGTTCCTGGCCAGCAGATTGTGTACATGGTCGTTATTCCTCCTGTATCCAGATCTTTTCATCAGCCTTATGAACTCTGTAGTCTCTACCCTGTCCAGATTTTTCCTGCCCAACAGCTAAACAGTGGCAGTCTGTCCTGACCACAAGCTGAATCCAGCAGAAAATTAGCTTCTATTTTATGTAGGGCTGCAAGATACACAAAAATATATAATGTTTAATAAAGCGTTTGGATATTGTGAAAACTATGTGATAACGTATCATTAAAATAGTGTCTGTGGGTTTGAAGTACAGACCATATATTTTTTCTCTAACTAACCTCTCCTTTAAGCATATAGGAAAAAAATACAAAATTACAAAAAGCCCCTTTTGTTATTCTGTAAAGTGCAAAATAAAAATAATAAAATACTAATAGCTACTTACATCATAATTGCAAGCACATTTTATGTCCTGTACCACTGTTAATAAACCACTCAGCATTCCCTGAACAACTTTTTCTATTGAGGCCTACCGTCATAGATAAATACATATTGATTTTCTTATCCTTGTGTTGCTAGTTTGTTGTTGCTGTAGTCATTACTGATTCACACATTTTATACACAACTCTGGGAGTGAGAATAATTATCATGTTCAAAATATTATTACAGGTTAGTAGTTCATGATTGAGCATCTTTTGTGTGTGCTTTCTAATTGGCTCTATAGCAGAGTGGTTAAATCACTCACTCTACACTCAGAAGACACTGCATTCCTTCCAATCTATTTACACAACTCTCATGCTTTGTGTATGTCTTTCACAGAAACTCATATGGTGATGACAGTAAAAATATGTTGGAATATGGTATGAAATATGATATGGAATATTCATGAAGCCCTAACTTTATGCACATCAAAAAAAAAAACCTTCTTCTTGGTACTTTCCACACCGCTATGATCCCGGAGGAAGACTGTAAACAACCATCTACAAATTCCAATGTACTTTGATTGATACTGCATCAGTGTCATCAATGAAAAAACTGTCCTCCACTATAGGCTTTATAAGACAGTACCAGTGTTCAGCTCTGTCAGGTTAACTGATAAATCTGAAGTATGTGCATTCATATTTTTGTGAATATTACATTAATTTTGGATTACTGTTAGTAGTGCAGAGAAAAAAAGGTTTATCAACCTTTAGGAATTATATGAATTTCTGCATAAATGGCTAAAAATGTGATCTGATCTTCATCTACATTGTAATGATAAATGAAGACAGTCTTAATTAGCAAACACAGCTTATTAGAGTGCCATATCTATATTAGACAAATGGTTTATACAGTACATTCAGGGTCAAACATAAAAAATAGTATGTGAACCCTTGTATTCAATAACTAGTAGTACTTCATTTGTTGGCAATAACCTCAACCAGATTCTTTGTAGCTGCTGATCAGTTATCTGTAGTCAGGAGGAATTTTGGCCCATTCCCCTCTATAGAACAATTTCGTGAAATAATATTTCATACAAAATGAAGAAAGTAGTGACTATATCTGCCATAAACATGCTTGCTTGCAACCTAATGCAGTGTTGCAGAAACCTATAAGGTAAGATTTTCTGGTTTAAAGACTAGGAAAATCCCTTTCTGATGAGATATCATGAAGGTGGGAGAAACTTTCGAAAACATACAGCTGCTTTGGGGTGGGTTTTATGGAGGCAGGCTGTTTAGAATGTTTTGTGTTCACTTTAGCTGGTGAATGCAGAAGGAAGGCAGATAGCATTACTGCTAGAAAGATTTGTCTTATTGCAGTCGTGTAACAGTGATGACTGTCTTTAAATCATCACTACAATGGAGAGAATGGATTACTCAAATGCAACAAAATATGAAAAGGATATAAAATCAAGAATTCTGTCAAACTGGTGAAGCTGAGGAACAAAATGCTGCACTACATAGTACTGCATAACACAACAAATAACATATTGGGCCAGTTTCCCAGACCCAGATTAAGCCTAATCCTAGACTGATTTCTAAAGGAGATTCCCCATTGCAATTTAGTCCAAGACCAGGCTTAATCCATGTCTGGGAAACCAGTCTATCAAGCTGTAGTGTTAGACTGGAAAGCCTCTTTAATGTATTTTTATTGCATGTTGCTTGTATGACTTGCTTTAGATCACACCTGAGCATTACAGGGCTTTGACTCGGTCCTTCTGAAATGTGAATTTCAGATTCCCTGACATTCTGCTATGGAATTTCCTAACCCAATTTAGAATTCATTGGGCCTTCAATGACTACATTTACATGCAGCCTTATAATCCTTTAATAACCTGAC